AAGAAAGAAAGAAAAAAAAAACACTGTTGCAGTCAATCTGAATATTAATTGGAAATAGTTCAATAAATGACAGGCATTTATTGACACTGACATAAATTCACTGACCCAATAGGATCTGTCCTACTTTTAAACGCTAGCAGCGTTGCACGTTTGACATTGCTTCAAATGATTAAACATGACCTTGTATATGTATGTATATATAATTTATTTAAAAGTTATTTTACTTAAATGCTGCATGTATAAAGCCCTAATAGACATTAGTAGTAAAAGTAACACTAGCTGGAAAACTGATTTATGTTAAATTACTTTAAATTATTACTTTTTCTTTGAGTACTTTGGCAACAAAGTAATTATGATAATCTATGTTTATCTTCCTTACATCACTTGTTATTGGTTCCCTTTTTACAGAGTTACAAAGAAATAACTGCAACACGTAACCAACCAACGCTTCACACCGTCATCTGATGACACTTGAGCCAGCTCCATTTGCTGATAAAGGTGAGATTTAACAGTGAGATGCAGTTTAAAGCACCAAAAAAACGCTAGTACGTGGACCTTTGAGTTGCGACTGTCACACATACCGTTCCCGAGGTCAACAGTAAACATCCATGCTCATGTACATAGGGGTATTTACCTGACGGGTCTGGGCAGTCCCATGGGCGTCAGATTGTTCTGAGGTTTGGGTAATGTTTTCCGAATTCTTATAGACGACACTTTCCCTCGTTCCTCGTGCTTTTGCACCACCTGAGATGATGAAAAATAAGATTAGTAACCTAACTGCAAAACATAGTAGACAAACGTAGTTACACAGTAACAAAAAAAGCAATCCAGGGTTACCAACATATTAGCTCCGAGTTACCACAGTGTAAGATCTCCAGTAAGAGCTGTCTGAATAAAGTATATGACTTTTAAAGAGGATAAAATATAGAGTATGATAAGACAGTAACAACGGAAATCTCAGTGACGTAGAGCAATATTAATCTGTAAAGCCATACTTAAATATTTAATGGCATTTCCAAAGATACTGCAATATAATTCCTTTTTTAAAATCTACAAACAATAACTAATTATTCAGCCGCACAGATAATTGCAACACAATCTGTATATCGATAATTCCCCACCCCTATGGCTTTCATCTTTTCACACTTAAATAGCACAGAGAAGATGTATCATCAGTAATCAGAGATAGGCGTCTTTCAGCCATGTTAGCTAAAAACAAATATCTGTATCAGTTATGTCGTGTACGGTTGCAGGCATGTTGTATGGATTGCATTTATAGCTAACTAAGATCCTCACACAACGCAAGACAGACTACCTCGAGATGTGGTCAGGCAGATCCGATCACATTCTGATAACGATGCATTTACACATTACATTAATATGGGTTTTTCCTCATCTGGATAACGTGTCCAGATACAGATCGAATTTTAATACCAGGTGTAAATGTCAGCTGAATGTAAATCAAACTAATGACAAATGCCAGTGTCAGGGCTTGAAACAGCTTATTTTGTATAGCAGCTGAGCTTTCTGTCCAAAAATCAGACCAGATATTCAGTATAAAATGAGGCACAGTAACAATGTGTTATTACGCCTAACGTACTAGATCATTACACTTATGTAAAACAATGTATACCTTGATTTCAGAATCAGACAAAGCCTTTTCTTCTCTCATTCCTACATCTTCAAACTCCTGACTGGATGAGCTTGTGTCCTCGCCGTCATCCTCCTCTTCACTCTGCTGTCTTCTCTCACACTCCAAGGGAATCCCACTAAACAGAAAAGGTAAAGCCATGAGTTCAGTTACATCAGCACAGCGATGAAACATTTGACGACCTTTGGCAGGTCTTATTAAAAGACTTTTAAAAGATACCTGCTACTAGAGTCCATGGTAGCACTGGAGGAGTCAGCTCTTTGGAAGAATCCTGAAAGGCGCCACGTGGAGGGGCTCAATGGGTACATAGACGAGGAGGAGGTGGGAGAGGAGACATAACTGGAGGTGCCGGGGCTGGCAGAAGCTCCTCTGCTGTCAACTTTCTTCGAGAGGAAAGCCAGGGGACTTGAAAGGAAACAGGAAGCGAGAGCTGAGAGGGAAGTGCTGAGAGACATGTTTTGGGTAACGCCGTCATACGGGAGGGATCTTCTGGATGGGTACACCTCCTTACGGAGACAGAGAGGGGCGATCTCCCGCTCCACTTCGACGCTGCAGACTGTGTGTCGACGAGCCCGCCGCAAGGATTTGTGGGTGTGATGGACAGAAGGAGTGTGGGACGACTGATGCTGGTGAGGTGTGTGACTCCTGCCGGGATGTGGTGAATGCAGGGAAGTCCAGGGCGTGTCGAGGGGACGGAGGGAGGGGATCTCTGGGCAAGAGTAGCTGCGTAAAAGGCGCAACGACAAGCCCTTTCCTGATGAGCGCGTAGCTGCCGTGGCCAGGTCCGCATCATCCATGGTGACGGAGTTTATCATCTCTTCACCTTTACGCGTCATCCTATTCAAAACCCTGCTTTTTCTCCTTTGGTTATCCGTTCTCCTTGGCTTAACCCTTCTCGCGCTAGACCTCAGCCTGGAGACGCCGATGCTGCTGTGGTTACCGGCTTCAGCGTCGGGGGAAAATACCTCATCTGCCACGGGAACGGTACCCTTTTCTTCGCCATCCTCAACTACATTATTTAATTGTACAGAACAGTCTGGATGAGGTTGGGAGGTTGAAGCACCAGGTTGGTGATTACTTTCAAAAGGTGTCATTTCAAAATATACAGGGTCCATTGAGACTTTGCCTTCTTGAGATTGCTTTTCTTTGGTTATTAAATGAAGGTTATGGGCACACTGCTTTGTCTCTTGACCTCCACCTGACGCAGATGATTTAACAGCACCTCTACAACCCTTCTTGGGTCTCTTGGACGTTTGGTTCAGCTCCATTTTCCCGCTTTCCTCTTTCTGAACATTCGGAGAGGTATGGCAATCTGTGTGCGAGACTTCTAATGGCTCCATTGATAATGCTGATGAGGTAGAAACCACAGTGCTGTCTGATTCTGTAGCTGCACTCGCCTGCTTGGGCGATTTCCGCTTTAGTGGTTTCTTGTTTGCAGTCCTGCACTTTCTTGTGCTCTGGAGCTGGTTTATGTCAGAGTGGACGGGGACTTCTTGTTTCGTAGAGGTGATTGCAATGGTGGTTTCCAGATCCATACTGTTATCGATGATTACATCAGGTTTAGAAAGACCTGTTCTCATCTTTAGTCTTTTGCATGAACCACTGGGCTTCACCTTGCTGCTGCTGCTCTTTCGGTTGTTCTCGGACACAACACTGCTATTCTCCAGTGAGCAAACCAACATCGCATCAGACGAACTTTCAGTCTGTGTGTTCATCACTGCTTCGTTTATCATAGCAAGCATTTCTTGCCCACCTGCTCCTTTCTTATTTGCTCTTGTTGAAACAGCAGGTCTTTTTCTAGCAGGTCTCAGTGTTTCTTCCCCGCCGACAATGCTATTTGTCAACACAACTTCCTTTCTTAGTGGTCTAAGTTCTCTCAATACGCCACCATCTGAATCCACGTTTAATAACTCTCGTTTTTTTGTATCCTTTGTACATTTATCTGCCGTCAATCTTTTCCTCTTCACAAAGTCTTGGAAATGACAATCCAGTTTGAGCTCCCTCTTTGCTCTCCCAGCTGAATAAGTTTCAGGGTTTAGCTGACGCTCCAGCCGCTGAGAATCCAAAGTAGGATTCAGTGTCCGTCCATTAGTACTGTCATTTAATTTATTCTGGAGGCTTTGGCGAACCGAGTCGCAACTTTCTCTTTTTCTGCCGTCGTCATCACCATCCCACTGTGGACAGTCGGTGTCAGGCTGCGCAGAACTGACTGAGGAAGATGACAGTGTTTTGTCAGTATCACCTGAGTCGGCTATGTGTGATTGGACTGAAGTCATGCGAGAAACCTGCTCATCAATAGCCTCTGGGTCGGAGTCTTCCTTTCTGACCTGTGATGTTAAAGTCACAGAGGTAACTTTCTTCCTATTCCCTGTACACTTCCTGGGCAGCGGTTTCAGCCGGGCAGCCAGTTTGCCTTTCTGCTTCTCCACACATATCTTTAACGTGGACTCATGTGAGGCACTTGCATTGACAGAGGGCTGAAACAGGACAGAGGACCTGAAAACGGACTCACCAGATTCTGAAACCTCCTCGGAAACAATGCAGGGTAAGGGGCTGTATTGAAAAGGCACCGAATCAGTTATGTTTGTTTCTTTCTGAGTTATTGCACATTCATCTCCCTGCTCAGAGCCGCGCGGTGACAACTCCACATCAAACGATAATTTTTTAGAATACTTAATAGCATCAGTTTTTGTATTTTGTACATCCTCTAATTCACTGAGGCTCTGTTGATTAGCTTCAGCGTCCTGATTCCCATTCTCATTTTGTTCCTCTGGATGAAACGCATCGTTTGGTTCTGAGCGTTCAACGTCAGACGTTCCATCGGCCTGCAGCTCACACTCATTGAGTTTGTACGGTTGGTCCATGGAAGGTGGAGGACTATTGGCTCTGAAGAGTTTAACAGGACTCATGACAATCTCTGTGAAGCTGGCCATCTTCGACTTGAACGACTGAAACAAGGGGCCGATCACCCATCCCTTCAGGGCAGATGCACTCTCAACAGTGTGCCCAACAGCCAATCCCCCGCATGTATCCATGTCAGATTTCGTGGCGTCAAGATTCTCTGCGGCACTGTCAGAAAACTGCTCAGCTACATTTTCTGCCGTATAGACGTTCGGCCTTCTCCGTGGGCTTTTCTGGTCCGTTTGCCTAAAGTAAAAAATGGAAAAGGGAAATTAAACTTTAAATCACAAATCGCGAGGCAGAAACACTGTCATTATAAAAACACCTACTTATGATTTTCTCCTGAAAGCATCAATGTATTGTGTATCGATATGTCAATACAAGATATTGTTTCTGGCATCCTACCACTCACTAGTTCCCTGTTCATGAAAAACATTAACTCAGAACATCTATGTGCCTTTCCCACTGGCTTGGTAATGTAGGTTATATGTAAAACTACTTCAACCACAGCTGCTTCACAGACATGACTATTCCTTAAATACAATTTTTTTTGTTCACCATTACTTAAAAATTAAACTCATTTTTTTTTTAAAACCTTCTACGATATAATTAGAATTTAGACACCTAAAAAGAAGGTGTGTTTTCAAAAACAAATAGAAATGGCTAACACTTCAATATAAACTAAGTGATTATTATGCATGCACACTTACCTATTTTGGCGTTCTGCCGCAAAACTAAACTCAAATCCATCCTGCAAAATAAATACAGAAATTAAATCAATTTTACAGTTGTTATAAGAAGACATAGCAGTGTTTGGCTGATAATTGATACCATTTGAGCTTCTGATCCAACCAACTAAACAGCCAAAAAGAAAACACTAAAATGCCTCTTTCACTTTCGGTTCAAAATTAAACAAAGCACAACAAACTCAGCTGAAATTTAATTTGATTTTGTTTTATTGCACTGATTTAAGATTTTAAATAAGACTGGATTTCTAAAATGTGTTCACAGACTGAGGGAGTTGTACTAATAACAGCCAATTTACTCGTTTACCTATTCAATATGTGTTGTTTAGCTCTACAATTTTGAAGGACAACGGAAAGACAATACAATGAAGATGCATTGCATTCTGTAATATCTGCCGTTTACGCATTACTGGGTCACATTAAGACAGACACTCGACTGCTTGTCTGTGTCAGATGCAGCAGACCGTGAAGGAGGATTAAAATCACTCAATTAACCCTCACACCCCGTTCACTGTACAGGTCCTCAGTGTTGGCATACACAGCTCTACAGAACAGCTGCTGCACAGATTAGACACTGAAAGCTTTAGGACAGGAAAAATACCATCAAGGGCGAAAGAGAGCGACAGAGACACAGAGAGGGAAGGGTGTAAGAACATCTAGAGCAAGGAGAAATAAAACCGACCTCATTTTGTTTCTCGTGTGTGCTTTCAACTCTTGGCTGCTTCGACTCTGACACTTGTACCTACAAATCAGAGAGATTAATGAGCGCTGCACGAGTAGTGACTCATTTAACTACTGAGGAGCATCTGAATAAGATTTTTGTTTTTCAAATAGTTTCCCTCCTACCATGCTCCCACTCGCTCTTTTACTCTTCGAAGGGGACGGATTCTGTCTGGATGGTTTCTGAACCGCTCCGATGTCAGTATTGCTTTGCTTTTTAGGCGTTTGTCCTCGGATCCCTTGGATGCGACCGCTCCTTCTGTGTCCAGATATTCCATCATTCACACAGCTGTGAATGTTTAAAAAAATAAAATAAATCAGTACATTTAGCCAGTTTGCAAATAAAGTGAGAAAAAAAAGTCTCAGAGTTGCACGATGACTCACCATCTGTACTCTGTCTAAACAGCCTGATCAGATACTTAAAACATTATCTAAATGTTGGTTAAATATGTATCTGACACATTTAAATACCAGGGGTGGCTTTTCGAAATTTGCCACACATTATCTTTCACAAGCTGCTTGATCCAAACAGTGAAAGTCCTGATTCAAAACTATAAAAACTATATAAGTTTAAACTGTTGGTATGACACGGACAAATCAGCCAGATAGAAGAGAGCACAGAAACCATGAGCCATCGTGTTACAAAAGGAATTAACATTAACTTAGTGACAGCTGAATAAATGTTACAGGCTTTCTGCATTTTAGGTGAGATGGTGTGTGTTGGTGACTGAAGACACTTGGAAAGTGGACGGTTTTGTAATGTAGAATTGCAGACATTTAAAATCTACATCATGCATAGCAGTACACCAGATAAAGAGATATATAGATAAAGTAATGTACCCAGTCCATAAAGGGAAAAAAAAAAGTGTATAATAGGGGTGTCACGATTTTGATTTAAAGTCGAAATCGATCGAAATTACATCT